TAATCTCTGATTACTTCTAGTAAATAAGGATAGTGTTTCATGCACGCATTTTAATATTGCTTTGTAGGTTCACGTCGTTCGTGGGTATGTGCCTGTGCTTGGCTCTAATGTTCATCTCGAGCTGGTATTACGCGCTAGTCGCTATGATCTTAGCAGCTGCCATTTACAAATACATTGAATTCCAAGGGTAAGAATATGATATATTGTTGTCTTGAGTTTCCACTGTTGTTTTATTACCTGGTTTTACAATATGGCTAACAGGAGGAACCCTACATCTTCATTGTATGACAGACTCTGACCGCTTTACCATGATCTTCCCAGCAGTTCATTGCAGGGTTGCTCCCAGCATCGTGTTAAATTTCCTGGACATTTATACACCTAGCTGTAGAAGCACTGTGGAAGTTTTGTGTCTTGCTTAAGAACACAGGAATTAGGGATTCTATCCTCACCCGCCTCGTTTTCATGTTCTCGTACCGAGGCTTACTCGAGCTGTGCGCCGTTTATGGCCTTTGTATGACCTTGGACAAAACTCCGTGACAGTTCTCAGACCTGGGGTTCAGAAAGCTAACCATTAGACGACCCTTCCTCTGATATCTTAGATAACCGGTGTAGCTCTTAACTACCTGTGCGTTATTCGTTTAAATTACAGAGCAAAGATTGAGTGGGGAGATGGTTTCAGGGGACTGGCACTGAGCGCAGCCAGATACAGCCTGTTGAGAATGGAGGAAGGTCCACCCCATACTAAAAATTGGAGGTTAGAAAGTCACTTGTGCTTTGTCGGTGGACTTTTGTTTTGTTATCACGAAAAGCAGCATAGTTATATCAACTGTTTAACCTTTTTCATTTTTCATTAGACCTCAGATTCTTGTTCTTTGTCCGCTTAAAAAGAATTCTGAACCTGAATCCAGTCGCCTGTTGAGTCTGGCGAGTCAACTTAAACATGGTAAGTATCTCCATAAACTCACTTCAAGCTTTGCTTTTAAAATCTAGGTTTATGTATTGTTTTAAGCGTTTTCGACAGTCTTTCTGTTGATCTAATCCATGTATATTACAAGGATAGGTTTTAACGTTGTTGTAAAGTGTGAGCGGAAAGTGTCAAGAATGGAAACAGTTCTGTCCCAACTTAAACCAGAAACTGCTTTAATCTCGCTTTATACACCAAGGTGGAGAAACGTACGGTATAAAAAAGACACACAGTGAAATCTGTATTTTAAAAACTTTTGTTTCTTAGGGCGTGGTCTTACTATAGTGGGGTCCATTTTAGAAGGAGATTTTAAGGAAAGAGCAGACGATGTGGCTTTAGCAAAGGAGGTAGGGGACACAGGATAGTAAGGTTAAAATGATAAATCAGTACAGTTGATTAAAATGGATGGGAAAAAATGATCCCTCAGTGTTCACAATTTTTCTTTGAAGTATAAAACTGGCAAGCTTAAGTTAAGTTACTGTTTGTAATCTACGATAGTAAATTTTATTTATTTTAACGATGTCAGTTTTAAGATATAATTGAATAGATGAAAGATCATATATTTGAACTGCGGAGAAAGACATGAAGACGTGATTGATCATCGCAGTTGTACACAAAACTTAAGCAGCTGTGAAATTAATTTCACAACTGCTTATTAAGTTGTGTGTATAATTGCGATGATCAATCATGTTTTAATATTTTACGATGTTTCAATATTCCACAGGTTTTACACGATTGTATGAAAGAGGAAAAAGTTAAAGGGTTCATGAAAGTAATCGTGGCTTCCACAGTGACAGAAGGAATATCATTCTTGTGAGTAAAAGTTCGCTACCCAGATAGGTTTTTCTCTGTCAGCTGATTTGTTTTGACCACTGGTTGGTCTGAGCGCCTCACATTTTTCTGAACATATATTTAGTGCTCACCATTACTCGTGTTTGGTTATGATTGGTGCGCTTCAATGTTACCGTCATTACTTTTCCCTTAGAGCGCAGAGTTCTGGCCTTGGAGGCCTGGAGCCCAATACACTGATGATCACTTGGCCTGAGAACTGGCGGGAAAGATCACAGTGGAAGAGTTTTGTTCGTAAGTAAAGCGAAAGCTATCCAGAAAGCGTTTTTACAGTGCAAAATGACAATACAAACTATTCTTTCTGATTTCCACAAGTTCCTTTGTAGACCCTTCCACATCTGACTTTTTTTCTTCACAGATACCATCCGCTGCGTGTCTAAAGGTCAAGAGGCGCTACTTGTAGCTCGCAAGATAGACGCGTTTCCTAGCAACGCAGAACGCTTGGAAGGCAATGTGGACGTTTGGTGGATAGTACATGACGGTGGTTTGATGATCCTGCTTATCTTCCTTCTTAAACAGCATAAAGTTTGGAGGAAATGTAATCTCAGAATTTTTACAGTTGCACGTATCCTTGTTTTAGTTCTGTTTCGCTTTTAAACTTAAAGATAAAACGTGCGCAAAAATACCCTGATTTTGAAAAGCTGAGGGCAGCATTTTCAAGTCCAAGCTCACATTTTTTTCACTATACGGACGGACCCTAAGCCGGTAAATAACTTTTTATTTTTTTCTCTCTCAAATCGCTTTTATAATCACTCACCAAAGTGTTACCGTGACCGTGGGCAGGGATAGGAAAATCCGGCCTGTGGTAAGAACCAATCAGATTGCAGGGTTCGTGACTGTGCCCTCTTAAAAAGAAAAGAAAAGATAACAACCCGAACAAGATCGCATAATAAGAACTAACCTGTCATGGTCAACTTTTCTTAACTACGGAACTCAGAACTCGAAGACAACAGCATCCAAATGAAGAAGGACCTGGAGTCCTTCATGTACCAGCTCAGAATCAAGGCTCAAGTTGAAGTCATCGAAATGGTAACTGGAAGCGAAATGTTTTATGCGTTTGATGCGTAGAGTATTTTTTATCATCATTCACTTGATCGAGAAGCAGGCATCCATCGTGATAATTCGCGTTGACATGTGTAGAACCTAAAATTGCTACAGCTAGATGTCGTAGCAAGCAAAGACTGTGTCACAGCGGATTTAACTGGGTGGACTAACTATTCAAAGCCCTGGACATCTCATGGCCGAATTGGCGAAAGAAGCAATAATAGTTATGTATAGTAACGATGTTTAAGGTAAATGTAGATTTGAAAATCAGGGATTTCAGGGAAACGCATTGAAGCGAAAATTGAAAAATAGGCAAACCACTGAGATCTTTGACATGCTTGTTTGATCGTTTCTCCTTTTAGATGGACCAAGATATCTCGGAATACACTTATGAGCGTACACTATTGATGGAACAGCGGCATCAATTGTTACGTGAAATGCATCTCTCGAGAAAAGAAAGCAAGCGAGAAATACAAGACGTGCTCGAACATTCTCACAGCAGACGGTCACTCTCCGGACGAAAATCGAATTCCGAACGCAAAACTGGAAATCAAACAGAGGACACGAGTAACCCTGACAACGAATCGAACCTTGCCGAAAGGCTTCCGAGTACATCCGATAAGTATACGAAAAGTGCCGAGAAAACTCCGACTGTGAGTGTCGATGGTACCACGGAGTTCGGCGATGATAAGAGTAAAGCGAACACTGGATACAGTACAACATCAGCCCACGAGTTTGTCATTTCTAGCGTTAACAAGGATGAACTTGTAGATAAAAACTGGGACATTGATCAGGGAAAGGATGGCGGCAATGCTTCGCCCAGGGCACAGGGCCAAAGTACGGCTGATGGGAAAGAGAGCTTGAGAGGAACACCGTAAGCAGCTTCAGTACTCCTCTTGTACCAACCTCGTTCCCAGGCTCTCTCAACTTCCCACCCTCCCGGAGCGAGAGAGAGGGAACGAGGTTGCTCTTGTTCATTAACAAAATAGAATGTGATATTTACTTATATTACTATAATTAATAGCCAGGCAAACTGAAGTCTCCACATAAGGAGCACGTACACCTTTACCGTCAGGATCTCTTCTCGAGACCTGACCGTGCCATCTTCGTAACGCTTTGTATGGATGCAGCTGACCACTATATGACTCCTACACCACGTATCTTTCCAGTGTGTAGCCTACAAGTTTTGCAATATTTTGGCGATCCCGTAAGGGGATTAATCAAAAAAAAAAAAGAAAAAGAAACAGATTACGAGTAAAACTATACAACAATACTACACACTGAAATGTCCAATAAGGGATTTATAACCCAACTTTTTTTCCCCGAAATCCTGACTTTCGTCCCATTTTGAATAGGAGAAATGAGAGGACTACACAGAACCTGTTAAACCGGTCTTATAAACAGACTCTTACCCAGTCGCTATTTACGTGCTTTTGGGGGAGAGAAGATTGGATACTAGGGTGGATTAAGGCCACAAACCTTTAGACTACCAGCGAGCACCTTTCCTTCTTAAGAAAATAAGAACCTACTAAAGAACTTAACTAACACAATTCCTTAGTAGGCACCACATATATAAGAAACTTATGTTAACCTGGACAAACAAAGTTTTATGTAAGTGGAGTTTTTTATGTACTTGACTTTTGTTTTGTCTGTTGTATTTGTAGGAAGGAGAAGAATTTAAGAAGAATGAACACAGCAGTGAAGCTAAACCAGCTGGTGAAAGATAGGTCAACAGGAACTCAACTTCTTGTTATCAACTTACCTGGAGCGCCAACAGACGAGAACGACTGGTTGCACTGTATCCTTTTCACTCCCGTGGGGTGGTGGGTGGGTTAGATGATAGAAGAATCGTACATGTGAGGTCATGTAGAACTAATGAATGCAGAGGACGGCACAATGCTGAAATAAACCGCTTGGCTTGTTTGGAGCCGAATCTATCGTTTTAGAAATCCACGTGCCGTAACGTAAATTGACGTAAAAGACGTAAATTGACGTAAAAGACGTAAATTGAACTGAGGCTAGCGAACTAACTGCAAGCCTGGCACTAAGGCCAAACGGAAATTATTAAGTTTTTCTTTTTTACTGAAGTATTGTTGTTATTTATTTTCGCGGGCATTTTTGTCATTGTAAATATTTGTAATGCCGCCGTATAGCGCGCTTTTAAATAGTGAGTGTCGTGAAACCAAAGCCAAAGAAATCACTCTGGCCAATTAGAAAGGACGTAGACAATCCATTGAACCAATCAGGACTCGACGTAAATACATGTAGCCGACGCGAAGCGCGGGAAAACGAGTGCGAGCTCGTCACGACTGGTTTTGGTTTTACTCCCGATTGGATGAAAAAGTGGCGCGAGGTTTTTTAAACCAATCGTGTAGCGTAGTGTTGCAAAATCAATCACTTTTCGACACTCAAATAAAATCAGCTTTATCTACTCCACCAATAAACGCGATTGTATATTTTTAGTTAAAAGTTTAGGGGCCGTTATTTTCTTTATGCCGTTATGTCTTTGACCACATCGAAGATATGGAGTTTCTAGACGAGCTCACAGAGGGACTGGACCGAGTGCTCATGGTGCGCGGTGGAGGACGGGAAGTCATAACCATTTACTCGTGACATGAATCACTTGGCTGGAGATACCTTCAGTACAATTGCTTTGCAGGAAAAAAAACTGCAGAAAATCAGTTTTATGAAACTCATGGTAAAGAACTTGGAGATAACTGCGGCCAGTTACATTTCTGAAAAACGGAAGTTCGCGTACATTTTTATCAGTGTGGTTTGATTACCGTGGTTTAAATCTATTTATTATTGTTGGGATAACAGTATTTAAGTTTTAACCTTTTATTTATTTGTGAGTGAATACGTACAGAATCAAGAAGTGTAAATAAAGCTGTTCTTGAACATTTTCTTTGATTACAAAAAAGTAACGCAAAATGGTGAGCCATAATTTGCGAGAATCGGCGTTAAAAAACTGCAGAATTACTAAAGGGTTTTTGTGTGAACGGAAAACGTTTTGTAGACGAAGCTTTTCCAAAACGATTGCGTCACAATAATCGTGATTGCCCTAACGAGGTTTTCCTCAAACTCAAATCCAAAATGACCGGCGATTGTTGCGTTATTAAATTCCTCCGGCCTTGTGTGGACGGAAAGCATTTGATGCGTTTTCAGAGTGAAACCTCGCGATCCGTTTTCTAATTCCTCGGGCGTAGTGTGGACGGGGCATAAGTCCATACATTCTCCTAAAAATTTTGAGTTTATCAACCCGCGTCACCAAAAATACCCATCTATAGTGCATCGGCCTCAAATTTTAGGACCACTATAGTCATGGCCTTTCAACTTAAGGTCATTCCACTGAAATAGAACCTGCACTG